CCCTCTCCACCTTTAAGTCTGTGATTGAATGTCAAATTGTAAATATACTTGTGAACCCAACACATGGCTCCATTTATTCTTACCAAATGAAAGGCTTATTTGTAGCAGCATTTAACACAGTTGCGTTAAAAAGAAATTTTCAGACCTGTTGCAGTAACGCTGCTAAGAATTCTGCACTTTCTTTTAAAAGTGTGGCGCTGATTTTCTAGAGCTTAGTTTAGGTGGTACTACATTTCAGCTAGAAAGGTATCTTCACTGAATAGTAAAACCACAGTGTTGGCTTGGGGCTTCTCATCTGAAATACCTGACGGACTTGTTGGCAGAGCTCTTCGGCAGTGATGGGTATGACAGGTTTTCTTTGATTTCCCAACATCACTTGGCACTAGTCAAGTGTGAATTCCCCACATGGGGAGGAGTCTGCAGGTGGTGTAAATGAGTCTGGACAGCTGCTGTCTCCTTCCACATCCACCAGGATGGGCCTGTGATACCTGCCTGTGTTGTGTTTTGAATGGTCTCAATCAGAAGGTGGTCTGTCCACCTTCTGATTGAATAAAGGAGTTCTCAAGCAACTCTATTCTGTACAAGAGAAAAGAGAATTGGGGAGGCTGTAATACAGCCATAAGCCAACACCCTCTGCCTTTGGCTACACTGAGCAGACCTGACCCAGGGAAACAAATGATATTATTTGCCAAAGCACGATCTCTGTGTACTGAGTTGCTAATGGTCACCTTTGGTGAGACTAAATTTTCTGTAATATTTATAACATAGAGGATAAGCTGGTCATAGGGACAATTAAAAAGATAACATGAAATTCTTTATTCTTTTTGTACTGAGTATTGTGTTTTCCTTAGGGAGTGGTATTTATGCACCGGATGCAGCCAGAAGATATTACTACAATATGAAAACTGAGGATGGGCACCTCCTCATTGCTGAACTAGATTCACACCCTCGCCTTTCTCCTGCCTCCCCACCTGCTATCAACTGGAGCTCATATGCTTTGAGTGTCAAAAGATCCTCACCGAATGTCCGTGATTTCGGAGGACTCGTCTTCCATGACTGGTTCACTTTCACTGAGCTCATTCAGCCAGATGGGAATCTCACCGTTTGCCAGAAAGACCTCTGCTGTCACTTGAGCTACAAAATGGCAGGGAAACGAGAAGATGAAATTTATGTGCTAGGTGCTTTTGATGGGCTTCATGTCGTTGAAGGACAATACTACCTGCAGGTAGTGATTCTCTGAGGGGTGCTACTTATTTTAGGAAGCTTCTTTACAGGGAGAAACATTCAGCTCCTTTGGGGGGAAAAAGACAATTACTTTCTTTCATGTTAGAGTCCTGATGTCCTATTTGTTAGCCATGGGAGGTAGTTGCTAAAACATCGAAGCCTTCTTACCTTTAAATCCAATAAATGCAGTGGAGAGGTCTCTAATACTCTTTTAAGTTATCAGAGTGCACTTACTATTATTTTAAGCATGCAATATTGTCTAACTTTAGGTCCTCTTTTGTGACTATCTGGAGGAAGTGTTCTGAATCTCCTCTGTAATCTTCAAAAGGTTGCTCTTAAAAAAATCAGTTGATTGTATCTATCTTTATGAGATGCTCTGATAATTTAGATTCACAGATATGTTAATTTTTTGTCATTAGTCAAATCATAGCAATGAGATTTACTGAAATGGCGTAAGACTTTTACTGGAAATGTCAACTCCTCCTCTCTTAGTCAAATGTTTGGGAAGACAGTGAATTACATCCTGGCTGAATTTGCTTAAAGCCTTATTAAGTTATTTTGCCAGCAGATTATACTTCTTTAGTTATTTACTTCTGTCTGTCAACATAGCCTTTGCATACCAGCTGGTACAGACTCCAGGATATTGGGGGAGGTTTTAGCCAGCAAACAGGTCATCTGATACATTTAACAGGATAGCTTGAATATTTTCAGTGAGCTTGCTTGGAAAATTCATTTCAGTGATTATGGAAGCTGCCAGATGGACTCTACCAGTACTGAATTTTCTAGAGAAGACAGGAATTTCTACTCTGCCTTTTTCCCTCAGTATTTGTTTTAATTTCCTCAGTACATATTAAGACAATTTGATTCTTTATTTCTGTTCTTATTTGCATTTCAGTATGAAACCATGTTTGGTGATGAATAATACTTCTAATGTTTGCAAATATACTTCTATCCCACAATATCTGCCACAAATAGACAAACTTCTCCATCACCTGTCAGCAAAATCAGCCAACATCCTTTGAATCTTCACAGGAGTGCTAGCCCAATTTCATATTTCTTTATGGTGTCCATAAATATTTATCAGTTGTAACATGGAGAATTAACTCTAAGGACAAAACATTGCCATTCCTAATTTCCTCTGGGTGCTGCAACTACTAACACAAAACTGTAACAAAGGACTCTGACTTCATCCCCTTGACATATATTCACCAGGAGCTGGATGGAGAACATAAAATTCAGCTTTCCCATGGACTACCAGGCCATCTAATGAATTGTCATTAGCAACATGTACAAATATAAGTAAGAGGACCTTTGTGTACAGTTGCACATCACATCCATGAGGAAGACTTTGCTTCATTTGCCTAAAATTTCCATTCACAAACTCATATTACTAAGAAATGGGAAAGGCATCTTCAAACTAACAATTAGAAGAATTGGTGGGAGTAACAGGATTGGCTTTTCAGGGATGAAATAAGGTGTTCTGGCAGCACTGGTGTCAGAATCTAAGTTTATGTCTAACTACTAAGGCAATGCAGGTCTGGAATACCTCCAATCAGATCAAGGGTTGAAAAAATAAGCTGCAGCTAAAAAGGAGTGTCTTAAAGATTATGAAAGAGATCCTGTGACTGTTACCTGCTCTGACACCCACCAGCTTTGATGACACAAGGCTTTCGTACCAGAGTGTTTCAGTCTTGCTAAATATGTTGTCTTCTCCTTTCTGCAGATATGCACACTGCTCAAGTGCCAGAGCACAGACCTGAACACATGTGGACAGCCGGTAGAGACAGCTCAGACCAAGTTTGAGATGTTCTCCCTCAGCGGCACCTTTGGCACCAACTACGTCTTTCCAGAAGTCTTGTACAGCGGGGTGCAGCTGGCCCCCGGGGAGTTTGAGGTAATGGGGCATCCTGGAGCTGTGTCATGCTAGGTTCGCTGCAGGACAGTAATGGAACAAACTCTCAAAACAGCCAAAGTGACTTTGCTCATAGTGAATAATCAGAGCTATTAAATAACTTTTAATGAAGTCACTAGTTTCGGTAAGAGATATGGTCTGACAGACCTTCTTCCTGTTTTGTCACATCTTTCTGAGCTCTTAGTAGGTTCATACAGGTGCTCCTCTAATTATATCCTTCTCTTACCTTTTTCAATCAGATATTGAATGATGGGCGCTTGATAAGTAAGACAAGACCGACAAAACCAATTGTCACTGTGACACTTTTTGGACGGTGGTATGAAAAGGATCATCTGAAACAAGACCCACAACCACCAGCTTTCCCTTTATATTCTCATAACTGAAGCTGCACCCTATTAATCTTATATCTGAATGAGATACATCATCCTCTACTACAACAATAACAATTACGTTTCTTATTTCCAGTTACACAAACTTCTGATCAATGTACTTTGTTTAGTAATAATGAAGCAATATTATTTTATTGGTACAATTTATTGAGAAGAATCTATTTCTATATCATAACTGATCTTTTATTAGTGCAAAACAGCAGCTGTGTTTCTCTCTCTGTTTTCTGGACTTTTATTTTTCTAGCCCTCAGAAAACCTGTATTGTGGGCCAGAGGATACATTCTTATTAAAAGAGCATTACATGTTTTATAATTGCAGATTACTATGAGAACAGTAAATAAAACAGTGAAAGATGTGATTTGTGGCAGCTCTATACAAAAAAGCTTGATAATGTTTTGTCTCTGATATAGAATTGCTTATGCTGATCTATGCAAGGCTGCTCTTTTAACCCACTTTCACATTTTTTTCCTATTTATGTTGCTTTGGTTTTGTTGCCTTTATGCCTTTGCTACTCTGTGGTACGTGGCAGCACAGAATAGTGCATCAGAGGCTGAGCAAGGACTCCAGTCAAAGAGCTAACCCTGAAACAAAACCTGCCACCATTTCTTGGTCAGAACTCAACATTAATCATCATTTCTTTGAAATCTCTTTTGAACTAAAACTTGGAATTGAAACCTCAAAGTATTCTGCTTCCCAGTTCTGAACAACAACTTGTCAATGCTTTCTGGCTGCACTTGTTCCTATTCAATGCTGGGACTGTTTGCACCCAGTAAAGAAGTCACCAAGTGACCTGGTATCATACAGCAGCTTCTCTCTCCCATCTTCTCTATTTCTTTCTGGTCATATAATACCAACATGTGTGAAATAAGCCTTGTCCTTTGCTCCTTCATGATAATGCTGGGTAGTGCTGCCCTGCAGAATAATTTGCTGTAGGGATTAGGGGGTTTAGTTTTCTTCTTACGACCAGCTTCTCCTCATGAGAAGGCACTGTTCACATTTTTGCTTCCTCTTCTCCCCCAGCGATCTGTGCTTTGTTGCTGCTGCTGGACCCTAGTGAGCGTCTTCCTGCATATTGGTGTGTAAAGATGTGCATTTGTTCCGTGCCTGTGACTTTAAGAGGGTTTAACACCCCTATTAGTCTAATTTCTCCTTCTTTTTCCCCACACTGGCACCTTTCCTGGTCTCAGCATGGTGCTCTCAAGGTCCTCAGTCCCACGTACTTCAGTTCTGTAGCTAGCGAGAAGCTGAGAGTGCAAATGCTACCCAAACTCCAGCACCAATTGTCACTGCTGTGCAACCATATGACCCTTTCTGTTTTCAAATGTAAATAGATACTCACATGTGACATAACATACTGTCATGTCTAACATAAAGACATGTTTATCAGCAGGCCCAGACAATGTACTCTGACTCATGGAAACTCAATGTCACTGCTGCAAGAGCCACGCTCTCTTAAAACCTTGATCACTGTTGAAGTCAGTTACTGTCTGACCACAGACTGATAGTTCAGCAACGGATTATCCAGTGTGACTCCGTGATTCTCTTCCCAGGGGTACATACTCAGTGCAGACACTGTACTTGTCCCCTGGGAACCTGGTGGATGATACCACAACTGTCCCCTAGGGAAAGGATCTGGATTCAAGGAAGGCTATGGCATGAAAGAAGGTCTTATCTTGCAGCACAGAAGGGATTCA